AGTTCAGAACAATCACTAAGGCTGCAATGAAAGTGATGGATTGGAGAAAAACAAATCATGAGGCAGGGAGGACCAACGGGAGGCCGTGACAATGATTGACCTAGAGATAACGTCCTATATTGGGGTGCTGCTAGTGGAGATGGAGAAGAGGCCTGTTGGCTCAGTGGACAGATGAAAGGGGTTGTCCAGCTTGGGCAACTGGCTGGTTGGTTGTGCTACTCACTGAAACGGGGATCATGAGAGAAGGTTTGGTAGTAAGGCGATGAGTTGAGTTTTAAGAGAGTCAGGTAGTCTCCTGGTCAGATGCGTGGGGCCTGTGGTTCAAGGAGTAATGCTTGCCAGGTGCTGTGTTAGGTCCTGGGAATGCATGATCTCATAGGATTGTGGAGAGCGGGGGCAAGTGTCCAGATGAAGCACACCAATTAACTACAGGAGAGAACTACAGGGTGTGTATTCCGGGTGCATACTACAGGAAGGTGGTCCGGGACATTGGCCCTGAGGAAGTGCCATCCGAGTGAGTTCCCTTCAGACCGCCCTGGGGCCTAACCTTTGGATGGTGCCCTCGGCGAGCCCCTGCGCGCCCCCCGCCTCCTGCAGGGCCCCAACTCCGCGGACCTGCCTGCCGTCCCGCTGGTGCCTCACGAGCGTCACCTCCCCGTAGCTGCCCCTGCCCACGACACGCAGGTAGCAGTAGGCGGCCAGGGACATGTTCCCGGCGCGGGCCCACAGTCGGGATGCGGTGACGGCGGCAGCGGCGGAAAGCAGGGCCGCGCGACACAGCGGGAGGCCCCGCTCATGCCCGAGAGGCTGCAGTGCCCGCGGCTGCGGTATCAGCTCGGCCCCGGCGCGCACGCGAAGGCCGAGCCCACGGCGACACCGCTGCCATAGCGATCCCGGGCAGCGCAGCCACGCGCATGCTCCGGCGGCCTGGGCGGCTCCACACAGCGGAGGCACCGGGCGGCCCGAGCGGTTCCGCCTTCTCCGGAGGACCCGCCATAGAGCCGAGGCGCCAGGCGGCCAGAGCGGCTCCGCCGGGCCCTGCGCGAGCCCTCTGTCTCAACCCCAGCTCCGGGAACTTCCGGGTTGCCGGGCCAATAAAGTCAGGGGAGCTTCTGCTTGCTGAGCGCTTGTTCTAAGCGCTTTGCAAGTGTCGTTTGCATTGTACAGATATTTATGGGCCGCCTACCATGTGCCGTGCCGACCAAGTCCCAGCCCTCTTGGAGCCCACATTCTAATGCGGGGAGTGGTGGTGACAGACTAGTACCATTCCCCCCCCCCATTTGTCACACGTTAGCTATGCATCCAGCAGTCCATCTTATTTTTTATTCATTTCAAAGTAAATTGGCTATGTCAGTATACTTCACGCCTAAACACTTCAATTTATGTATTGAGAAGTGCAAAGAACTCGCATAAAGACCATCCCCCTGCATCAAGTGACTTGACCAAACTCTGGCATGGCTTCTAACACCTTAAGGCAGTGTCTCTAGGAAGACCCTGCCCCCCTTAAAAGACTTGCCTCTGAAAGCTCAAAGCTGCCAAAGAATTTATCGTTTGTTACAGCCAACGCTTCCCTTTCCTAGAGCATTGACTAAAAAAAAACCCTTAAACTGTAAAGGCTTCCTGTGTCCTTTTGAGGGGATAGATATATATCTTCTACAACCCAGGAGTGTCTCTCAAGGACCTGAAATTCATCCCTTTGAAATGTAAGATTTCTTTTGCCCACATCCAAGAAAAAATTTTGCCCAGTTGGGGGCAATATCGCCCCTGCTGAGAATGCATAATATGGAGCATACTATTACCCTGGAAAGTGAATTCATGCCCCTTCTCAGTCAATCCCCAACCCCCTCCCAGAATCAAGTACATTCATTTATTTAATCCCTCCATCAACCCTGTGAGGCTGGTACTATTATCATCTTTATTTTACAGCTAAGGAAACAAGTCTCTGGAAAGTTGAGAAACTCAAAATAATATTCTAGAAGACTTAGGGCTTGCTCACTCATGAACCTCCCTGTAGTCACTTGGTTCCCCCTTGCCCCCAAGAAACTTCTTGGAAAATGACTAAGATTCCCTACATGCTTTTCTCAGTCTTCATCCACCCCTCTTCCTCTCAGCAGGCTTTGCTCCTCTGGGGACCCCTCTTATTTCTTGGCTTCTAGAACTTTCTTGGTTCTCCTGTCCATTCCTGCTTTCTTTTGACTCCTCATGCTCCCCTCAGGTTTGAAGCTTCCCAAGGTTCTGTGCTCTGCCCTCTGCTGTTTACCTCCCCCAACTTGCTCTTTGTCACATCTATCATTCACTCTACAGACATTTCGTGTGGGCCTGTCTGGTGCCCCACCCTGGAAGCACAAAGTGAACAACACAAAGTTCTGGCCCTGTGGGGCTTACAGTCAAAGAGGGAGCCGGCCATTAATCAATGAAGCATACTAACAAATTCTCCCTGCTAACTGAGGTCAATGCTGTGCAGAAAGGTCACTGGGCACAGCCTAGCCATCGGGGGGTGGTTGCTCCAAGCAGTCATTGCTTGGGCTTAAGTAGGAAAACCTTTTCAGGCAGAAGGAGCCCCATGTGCTAAGGCCCAATGAACTTGTTTTGTGACTCCACCTGCACACCTCAGTGTGAACTCCCTGAGCACCCTGAGCTAGGCCTGCCTACTTTAACACCCCGAAATTGGCAGTTGGAATGGGGCTGGCACCCAGCAGGTGTGAATGGATGAGGTTGATAAATGAAAGAGTGGGAAAGTACCCAGCTCCATGGATCTGGAAAAGGTCTCTATGGTTGAAGCTGAGAGACCTAGATGGTTCACGGCTGCATGAGATGGCGGGGTCAGCAGGAGACAGACAACTTAGGACCTGGAAGTGTGTTAGACAGGGAAAGGCCTACAGCACATCGGCCTATTTAAATGATGAGTCTGATTGCTGCCAGAGAACAGACTGTGGGAACAGAGTGGAAGTAGGGGAAGCAGCCATCCAGGTAAGAGATGAAGGTGGCTTAGACTCAGTGGTTACTGGGGATTTGCAAAGAAATAAATGGATTAGAAAGATATTTTGAGGGTTGGAGGTGGGGATAGGGGTAGGTAATCTAGGGTAAGGAGGCATCCAGGATGCCACTTAGCTTTCTGGCTTGGATCCTGGATGGATGGTGGTGGCCTTCAGAGGGGTAGACAACACGAGGGGAAGGACCAGTCCTGGTCATGGGATGTAGGAGGGTGAGAGAAAGGTCATGAATTGAGTTTGGACATNCTATGCTGTACACCTGAAATTAATATAAAATAATATTGAATTCCAACTGTAATTGAAATTTTAAAAGAGGGGGGAAAAGCTGAAGGAAATAAGAGGTCCAAATTTCGAAGTAGAAAACAAGTAAGTCACGGGGATGTAATGTACAGCATGGGAAATACAGTCATTAATATTGTGATAATGTGGTGCGGTGTCAGATGGTTGCTGGACTTATCATGATGAACCCTTCTTTAGGTATAAAAATGTGGAATAACTATGGTGTACACCTGAAACTAATATAATATTGTATGTTAGCTATATTTTAATAAAATTCTTTTTAAAAATTACATGAGTCTTGGTGTAATAATAAAATCAGTGGGTGATTTATAGCCTTAAATTTAATGGTGTGTGGAAGTCTGGCTGCACTTCTTGCAGAGGGCAACTAGCCTCATGGAACTAACATATAAAGTCAGTCACTCCGGCATCTATATCATACGCAATGCTTTCTGCAATTCCTAACTGGTTACTGGTGATTGTGATGATTATCAAAGGAGCAACAAGTTCAAACAGAGCGGACTCATTATAAATGAGTCTCATTTAACCATAAGCTGGGTAGGAGAAGCTATCCATAGTAACTCAGGGTACCTGCATGTCCTGTGGCTACAGGTAGTGGTTTTTAGAAACCAATTCCTCAGAGCCATTAAGCCACTTTTATAACTAATATTAAGAAATTATCAATTTCTTCTCCTCTAAATCAACCTTCCCCAGAGACAGGACCCACAATTCTTAACTATCCACCCAACATCAATGATTACTCACTTTTGCCAGTAGCTACTTACAAAGTTGCATTAAATTAACCTTACTCCAAATATTAAAAATAGTTCCAGAATATACTTTACCTTTCCTTCAATAATCCGATAAACTAAAGAATTCATGTCTTTTGCATTGAAAGCATGCTTCAGGGTGGCCATTTCATAAACACAGCATCCCAGAGCCCAAACATCAGACTACAAAAGAAAAAGAATAAATGGTTATATGTCAGAATGCCTTATTTACATTTTTTCCTCTTAAAAAAGAAGAGACATTTTCTTTAAACCAAGTACAGAGAATTCTTTGACTTTTACTATTCTGATGGGCTTTGAAATTATGAATACTGTCCTAGAGACAAGGTGAGCTGATCTCAATCACAGCTCAATCCTACCTTATAATTGTAGGGTTTGTTTGAGAACAACTCAGGGCTCATGTAGTAGGGTGTGCCAATGAGAGTGCTAGCCATATCACAGTGGTTCTCTAACACTCGGGCAATTCCTAGGTCGCCCACTTTGATGATGTTTGTTCTTGTTAGAAAGACATTTTGAGTTTTCAGATCTCGGTGAAGGATGTGTTTTTCATGTAAATACTGAAAAGAAAAATAAAATTTCATTAAGGTGAATATACTTATCTACTTATTTATTCCTGACTTCTTATATACTATCAATAATTGTATGAGTTAAGGAGCCTTAGTTACCTTTCTATCAAAAATACTATTATTTTAGTCTCTAAATAAAAAGTCTAATTTATAACTTTGCAAAGTAAAAAAAATTAAGTCCATGCATTAATTTGCCCAGTATCATTCACAATTATTCCCTGGTGCCTTGACCATTATACCGTTTATCGTTATATACATCCAGTTAAAAAAAAAACATGCTTACAAACTCCCACTGAAGGTAGAAAAACAGCTACTACAAGGTCAGATGCACTTTCCTCTCAGACTCATAAAATCTGCAGCTTTAAATATTTTCACATATAACAAGATCACTTTTATTTAGAGAGAATATCAGAATTTAAACTACAAGGTCAATTAATTCTGGAGAAATCTGCCCAGTTCCAGAGTGGTATTTCATAAACAGTCTCACTTTTGAATATGTGTATATTAAAATACAAACATGTTTTGTATTTCCACTCACTCTGCCACAGGGTTAAAACCCAAATCCTCACAGTTTAGGCATATTAATTAGCCCAAACACCTTTCAGTATGACACAGCTAACCAACTGATAACAAATACGGTCATTCTTTGCTCTTTGTCAACTCAGGGCACTTAAAATGGACTTGGCTATAAATATTAAATGAATAGAGCACTGGCTTCCCTTCCAATTAGACATAAAATCCATGCCTACTTCAGAAATCCATGCCTACTTCTGGTTATCATTCAGAAACATTCCAATGCTACAACATGAGCAACTGGGTCCACTTCATAAATGGATTAAAAAATAATAATATTTTTTTTGCATGTATGCATTTGGGGAAAAAATTTCCTAAAATATACCTGCCATTCCCCTGTCCCCTTGAAGCAAGTAGGGTGCTGTAAGCCTGGACAGTACCTGCAGAGCCATGGCGATCTGAACAAACCACTCCACTACCTGACTCTCAGGCAGAAGCTGCCCTTTCTGCTCCTTGAGCTTTCGGTACAGATCACCTCCTTCGCAGAAGCCCATGACGATGTATAGCAGACCGTCCCCTCCCTCCCATGACTCCTTGTAGGTGACAATATTGGGGTGCTTCAGCTGAGACAACAGCTGGGCTTCCTGTTCAGCAGCTCGCCTCTCTCGGCTGGAGGCATTTCGGAGGTTCAATTTTTTTATAACATACTACAAAGAAAACATATATGTGTTTACAATGTGCAAATAAACATACAATTTTATAGGTACAGAAGTATTTAAGGGTTCTTCTGACTGTCCTCAAAACTAATCTTCTAGAGCCTGTCCAATAACCTACTCATTGTGTTATTCACAAAGCACAAAATTGGGAAAGACATTGGCTATCACTAACAGTACTATTTATGGTTGACTTATAACAGGGCGGGGTCACAAAAAAATTCTGCAGATAGAATGGGTCTATGGGTTGCATTAAATACTCAAAAAATCGATAGCCAAATAACGTTAAAAATCACTGATCCTCACATACAGTATTCCCACTTAAAAAAAACCAATATCCTTTAGCACTTAATACATTGCCCTCAATCAACTGAAAGATCATACAATTCATTACTCAACACACACATACATAAATGTGCTTTGTAAAATGTAAACTGCTCAAATGTGAGGGGCTATTATTACAGCTAGAACCACATACTCGACTCAAAAAATCCAAAGACCATCTCTCCCTATTCTGTCTGCCGAATGAATCTCTTAAGCCTGAGCTTTTGCTCCAGGCAGAGCAGCCAGAACCTGAGACTAGGCAGAATAGGCGAGAGGGCCTTATGCTTAGGGGACATCTCCTCTAAGCTTGTCTGGGGTAGTTCTGTTGTCTTGGTATAATTATTAATAGCGTCTCCTTTCAGTGTCAAAATTGTCCCAGATTGTACACTATGGTCACCCTACTTAGAAACCACAATAAAGAATTGGCTTGTTATTCTGAGGGTAATGGGATAAAGTGCTTTAAGCAAAGGAGTGACAACATGAGATGTAAGTTCAGAACAATCACTAAGGCTGCAATGAAAGTGATGGATTGGAGAAAAACAAATCATGAGGCAGGGAGGACCAACGGGAGGCCGTGACAATGATTGACCTAGAGATAACGTCCTATATTGGGGTGCTGCTAGTGGAGATGGAGAAGAGGCCTGTTGGCTCAGTGGACAGATGAAAGGGGTTGTCCAGCTTGGGCAACTGGCTGGTTGGTTGTGCTACTCACTGAAACGGGGATCATGAGAGAAGGTTTGGTAGTAAGGCGATGAGTTGAGTTTTAAGAGAGTCAGGTAGTCTCCTGGTCAGATGCGTGGGGCCTGTGGTTCAAGGAGTAATGCTTGCCAGGTGCTGTGTTAGGTCCTGGGAATGCATGATCTCATAGGATTGTGGAGAGCGGGGGCAAGTGTCCAGATGAAGCACACCAATTAACTACAGGAGAGAACTACAGGGTGTGTATTCCGGGTGCATACTACAGGAAGGTGGTCCGGGACATTGGCCCTGAGGAAGTGCCATCCGAGTGAGTTCCCTTCAGACCGCCCTGGGGCCTAACCTTTGGATGGTGCCCTCGGCGAGCCCCTGCGCGCCCCCCGCCTCCTGCAGGGCCCCAACTCCGCGGACCTGCCTGCCGTCCCGCTGGTGCCTCACGAGCGTCACCTCCCCGTAGCTGCCCCTGCCCACGACACGCAGGTAGCAGTAGGCGGCCAGGGACATGTTCCCGGCGCGGGCCCACAGTCGGGATGCGGTGACG